TTCTTCTAGAATTTTTCATACCATCGATCATTACGGCATTTAGTATTTCCAAATTTGGTAAAATACTTGACTGTATTAATCGAAAATTTGAGATAATAATTTCCAGAAATGTAGTACAACAATTTTAACCAATCACGATATTGAAATAATCAGCCAATAAAATGGATATTCAATCATGCTGTAGGTAACACGAATTTCACTATGATACTGTTGATAAAAAAAATTATGTAACACTCTGAGTTGTTAGCCTCATACATAAGTATTCCAAAAACTAATTTTTGTGAGATGTTACTATTACAAATGTGTGCAGTCATTCGTTTAGGTTTACCACTGCTCCAAAATTTGTTACAAAAATTGCAAGTAGCTTGATAATGGCCACGTCCAACTTGATTCCCAGCTTTGAAATATTTCCAAATATTAGAAAATTTTCTACCAGTTCTGAATGATTTTTTTTTGTTAGAAGGAAGAAGGCTTGACTCGTGTGAATAATCTTCAGCATTAACCTCTTCATCTTCTTCATCTCCTTGATCATCCAAATTAATTATTGAATTGTTTTGAATAGACATATTATAATTGAATTTAAAATGATATATAATAAAATACTTTTTAAAAATATATGTGAAAAGAAAAATTCAAATTTTTTTAAAAAGTGAAAAGTGTGGGAAAAATTAATTAACATCAACCAATTATATAGCATTTATAAAATTTTTTATTAAAATCACTAATAAATAATTTTCTGAACAAAAATACAGTAAATTAGTAATTTGTAAAAGAGAGTTAATGAAATAATATATAAGTAATAATTGCCTTACTTCTGATAAATAAGGTTATTTATGTTCTCATCTCATATATTGGTAAGTGTTCAGAAAATATTAACACCCCAATACTATATACATCTTATTCTTTGTATTTTTGCTTATCCTACAAAGAACTTAGGCACAATATACCATTAATTTTGTTTATTTATCATCAATTAATCCACATAAACTTAAATCTTTGATAAACATCTCTCATAATATGACAATTATGGAGTATCAAAAATTTAGCCAATCTATTTATACTTTTTCTTTTATTCCTACTCCACTATTGCTTTGTACCTTCATAAATTCCTTCAATAAGCTTCACAAATTTCATTATCAACTACGGTGCAGATCATCTATAATCATTAATTGCTTATAGTAGCAATTGGTCAACTTCAAAATACTAAAACAAAAAAAATTTATATCATTTTAAAAAATTTAACCGATAAGTTTTATTGTTCATGACTCAAGCTTCAAAACTTATCGGCTGGTTTTT